CCCCACCTGTGTCCCCCAGGAACGGGCCCAAATTTTGGCTATCTCCCTGTTTGGGGAGGAGCCAGCCCTTCCCCATCTCCCGCCCTCTGCCCTCCTAGCTACTCCCCACCTGTTTCTCCCAGGAACGGGCCCAAATTTTGGCTATCTCCCTGTTTGGGGAGGAGCCAGACCCCACCCAGTCCTGCCCTCCTCCCTCCCCCCCATAACCCCACCTGTGTCCCCCTGAAACCAGCTCAAATCTCCCTGTTTGGGGAGGAGCTGTGCCTAACCCACCTCCTGCATATGCAAAAAAGACCCACCTGACTTTCCTGCCCTGGTTCCTCCTCTGCACAAAGAGCAGCAAAGCCTGCAACCAATGAAGAGGCAACAAATGGAGCATACCATAGTTTATTGAGTACAGTGCAAAAGGAACACAGACAATAACAGGAGCAGAACCATCTCTGGGCCATGGGTGGTTTGAGGTTTCAGCAGCAGAGCCAGACTTCAGTGTAGCCATGAGGGAACAGTCCTAGATGAGAAAGAATAACCATGTTAAAATTGTACAGAAGTTCACATTGAGCAAATATTGCTGAAACCGGTGAGTTTTAAAGCACAGGAGCTTCTCCACAGCAGCAAATGGAAACTGGGTTGAGTGGCACCAGATAACAGGTATAGTAGGTTAAACAGCTCTACAATTGGCATGCAGACCAAGAAGCAAAGCCCCACTCAGAAGCCTGGAGGTGTGACGCAATGGGGTTACTGCCATGGCTAGTTATTCTACTGGTGATGCACAGAATAAAAGAAAAGACTAAAATAGCCGACACTGCAACAGCCACATTTCAAGAAGCTGATCTACAGTTAGTGAACAAAACTGGAAACACCTGGGCAAAAGGGCTCATGCATGAAGCAGATTGGCATGCTTGAGGTCTTGCAGAAAAAGATATTTACAACTACCAAGGCTGCAAGAGGAAACTGCAGTGCATTTGAAAGTGGGGTGATGGTTAGCGCAGGTTCTGCAGCAGCTGCAGTAAGACAGCTCAACTTGCTGATCTTTCACATTGCGTACAGGTCATATGGACTTCACATTTTGGCCAAATGCCCTCTTAAGTGACATAACATTGGTGTTTCCAGTTTTTCTGTCCACTATACATTCTATAATAAATCAAGAGCACACAGACAACACTTACCGGCTGTGGAAACAGAGTGAATCCCGCTGGAGTGAGATTTAACCGAGAGGCAGGCTTGAAAAACTGGACTTGCAGCAGTCATGCTGGCCAAGTACTGGCTCTCTGGATCTTAGAAAGAAGAAAACAAATGTCATTTAAATAACACTCCTTAGACAAAAAGTTCCCAATGTTTACAATTCAGATTGCACAGTTGAGATTTACTGTTGCTCTTCATTAGAGTCAATGGATAAAACGCTTTCTCTTCACTTCTCCCTACAAGCTACCACGAAGCGGTCTCATTAAGTGATAAATTTGGCAGGTGAGAAGAGAAACAGATTCACAGCAAGATGAGTCCATACCAATTCAGTTAGCTACAACCAAGTGCCAGGATCCATAGACAGGATTTCACAGAACTTGGATTCAGTCCCGGAACAGGGGTGCTGTCTGCATGGAGCTTGTACATTCTCTCCTGGTTCACATGGGTTTCCTATGGGTGTTCCTATTTACTCACACAGTCTGAAAACATACTGGTTGATTGCCTGGACAAAGTTTGAGCGTGTGTGCATGTGTGAGCCCTGTGATGGACTGGACCCTGAATTGGAAGAAGTTGTAAGAAAATGGGTGTAATTTAAAACACCCCCACAAATGAACTCATATGCCCTACATATCAAGAGAACCCCTTTCTGTCATTAGTATGCGAGAGGCCTGACTGGCACAATATAAAGCACTATGTTTTCAAGAAAAGTGGTGCACAGCTCCACTTAGCAAGTTAAATCAATAGTTTTAGTGGAGCACCTTTTCCCTGCTCAACCAAATCCTAGGATCTGAAGCATCCAGACCACATGGCAAAACCCCACTCAACACACCGGAGGTGTGATGCAATGGGGTTACTGCCACAGCTAGATATACTACTGGTGATGCACACAATAAAATCACAAATTAAAATAGCTAAAAATGAAACAGCTACAATTTAAGAAGCTAATCTACAGGTAGTGGACAAAACAATGGAAACACCTGCGTAAATGAGGGACATCTAGAATATTGTAAGCAAAGGCTTCCATACAACAATGGCTCACGCATTAAACAAATAAGCATGCTCAAGATCACCAGAAAGGCCTGGTTGCCTACATTTATGGCTACCATGGGTGCCAGAAGACATTGTAATGACTTCCAGAGATTGGAAGTGACATCTAAGACAGTTCAACTTGCTGATGTTTCACAAGCAAACCCAGAGCATGTGTGGTCAGGTCACCCAATAGTTTGCTGTAGATTTTATGCCACATTGCACACAGGCCATACAGACCACACCGTTTGTTCAAATGCCATCTTAAGTGACAGAACATCGGCATTTCTATTTTGTGGTCCATTACCTATACATTTTACATCAAACCAAGAGCACAATGACAACACTAACCGGCTGTGGAAACAGAGTGAATCCCGCTGGAGTGAGGCTTCAGCAACAGGCAGGTTGTGGCAAAACTGGACTTGCAGCAGCCATGTTCACCAAGTACTGGCTCTCTTTGTCTAAGGAAAAAGACAACACATGCCCTTTAGAATGCAAGTCTTACACAAAATGTTTCAAGAGCTCTTTTCCCCAGTTCACATGTACTGTTGCTCTGCATTACAGTCAAAGAACACAAAGCTTTTTCTTCAGTTTTCCCTAAAGAATGCTTCAATAAAGAGCTACTACTAAAAATGACAACATGACTTTACATGCACATGTATGGAGCAGTATCACAAAGTGATGAATCTGGCAGGTGAGAAGAGAAACAATGGTGCACGGGCAAGTCACTAATTCACAGCAAGATGATTCCATATCAGTTCAGTTGGCTACAATCAAGTGCTGCAATATACAGGATTTAATCACATCTGCCTAAACACAGGCCTGCACAGCAGCACAGTGATTAATACTACTGCCTCACCTGGGGCACTGGATTCAGTCCCAGATCTCTACCTGCATGGAGCTTGTGTTTTCTCCCCGTGTTCTTGTGGGTTTCCTCCAGATGCTCAGGTTTCCTCCCACAGTCCAAAGACATAATGGTAGGTTAACTGGCTTCCAGTACACTGGCCCAAGGTGCGAGTGTGAATGTGCCCGGTGAAGGACTGGAGTCCTGTCCAGGGTGTACCCTGCCTTGAGCCCATTTCTTGCCGACACAGGCTCCAGCTCCCCTGCGATCCTGAATTGGAAGAACGGGTAAGAAAATGGATGGGGCCTCAACACACCTGTACCTCACTTTCCACTACTATGACTTGGCTTTACGTTCCTTTACACCTGGAGTGCTACTCACTCAAGAATGAAGTTCAAAATGTTCACATTAGCGTTTGTTATACTCAGCATCAAACACCATTCGTGGAGGTTTTTATGTAATGTACACAAACTTTGGATGTTGCATGAATGGTTTAATAACATGATCATTAATGTTGGGAATGACTGGTACATAAGCCCTCACTTACCTCTTCATCAAAAGTGCTGATCAGGTCATGAGATTGTGATCCGTCGTGTTGTATATTAAGCCTGGTGAAGATCAAGAAATAAAAATACAAGTGAACCCAAATGCCCTAGATATGAAGACAATCCCTTCGTGTCATTAGTATGTTGGAGGTCTGATTGTCATAACACTATTTCTTATTGACTTGTGGACTTCAGTCATTTCTGTTAATAAACACTTACCAGGATTGCTCGATTACAAAGGATACTTACACATATTTTTCCCCCATCACTATTTTTATTGCAAAATCACATGTTTAAACAATTTTTAAAATGATAAAGCACTTGTCAGCAATACCTGCTCACCACTGAAGTGACTCTGTCACATTTACTGGATAAAAAGCCTACTCTGTTCAGGGATCAAAAGTCAGGCAGTGAATCTGAAGAAAGGTACAACAATTAAGACTAAAAAGCATTCTGAGCAAGGTAGAGATAAAGTGATTAAAAATGCATACATATGGAGAAACATAATCAGCAAAATGAAATGACTTATGTCTAGTCTGCCCAGTACACCTGCTACACTGATTGCCATTTTCCTGATAACTACCCGCAGCAAAGTGACAGTTATGCAGTGTTTCTTTTGATGCTCAGTACTATTTACAATTCTAAAGATTCTTTGTGCAATGTGTAAATATAGTCTGATTTGTCCTTGTATGGAGTGCTAGCACAGACCATTTGGAATTTATCGAAAGCCAAAACTTACCCCGTCTACAGATCCAATGGAAAACACCACACCTCTATCTAAACTGGATTCGGAACAGAAAAAAAGAAGAATAGTTCAAAGTTCTAATAATGACTGGTTTCAACAGCTTCACGTCTCGGTTCCTGCCACTGGATAGGAAACACTAATAAAAAAGACTAATGTATTCAACAAAGTTCAACTACAGAAAATGGTTTCAACTCCTTCCCAACTGAAAAACATTACAACAATTTCACCCTTTTAGTCCTCAATCGTTAGTTAACCACGTAGAGTATATTTAATGGAGTTCAAAAAGGATGTTTTCTTACCATTTTATTTCATTTTACTTAAAACCAAACACACGCCGGCAATTCCGAACAATGTCCAACAATGCCAAATAAATAATAATTAACTGGTTCCAACACCTTCAGGTCTCGGTTGCAGCAACTGGATGGGAGACAGAAGTTCTGCAAAACAACACCAATAAAAATGCATTAGTATTCAACAAGGTTTGGCTAAGAAAAT